AAAAAAATAACTGTAGTAAGAAAAACAAATGAAAAATGCGAACTAATGTAACGTCGTATGGTGAGTTTTTGTTCGTATCGTGGAGCAAAAATATGCTCGAATTTCATGTCGTATCCTGAAAATTTCGTATGCTGGGGCGTTCGTAACCTGAGCCTTTATTTTACTACAAATTTCTAACCCTTTAAATCAGTGTTTCTCAACGGGGGCGATATCGCCTCCATGTGGGCGTTTTTCCATGTTGAGGGGGCGGTTAGTAACAATTTATATTTTGGGGGGAGAAAAACAATTTTCTGGGCGTTATAGTAAAACATTATATTAAGAATAATTAGATATTTTACTCGTTATATCATACAATAATTAAACAAATAACATTATACTAGTCACTAGTCTATTCAATGCAGTACGAATTTGGCGTTAGCCTTGTCCCTCGGTATCGAAATTTTGTAGTGAAGGGGGCGATGATTCGTTAGAGGTTGAGAAACACTGCTTTAAATGATTCTTTGATAGTTTTACCAAATTATTTTGACCCAATTGAATTTGAATATTTTTGAATCATTCTTCTATTATCTCTGCTCTAAATATTTACTCTATTTTTCTGAACGAGCCAGACTAATTGATTACAGTACATATTTTTCTTTTCTGAACAAGGGGCTGAAGTAGCTAGCTAGATCACACACTTTTTAGTTGGACTAACTCTTCTGGAAGGGTGAAATTGAAGTTCAAATGCTGTTAAAAATTACATTAATATTTGTTTGTTTAAAAAAATTAAGTTAAATATTAAAAATACTAACTATAAATATATTTGGGTAAAGCTCAGGCTCCTTTCAGAGTTCAGAGTAGGGTACCCCCTTATGAGTGCCTCTGCCCCCATAAAATGACTTGGTATTTAATTTTGCTAGAGTTGGAGTCGGCCTGCTAAAATTATCAGGAGTCGGAGTCAAGTGTTTTTTTTACCGACTCCACAGCCCTGTTCTAAAGTAAATTTTTTAATTATGTTTTTTTCATAAAATTAAGGTATAAAATTGATTTTAGTTTAATTTTTCAAAATATTATGAAAAAATTGTCTAACATTCTAAAAATTTTATATTATAATAAAAATACTATATAATTAAAAAATTATATTTTATTGTAATGTGAATTCTGTTTAAAGCAATTTGAATAATTATCTGGAAAAATACATCAATTTGATAATTTTTTTATTTCAAAATCTGAGAGATTAAAAAAGAATACATCAAAGAAACAATCCCTGCTGAAAGAGAATCCATCACAGTAAGTGGGAAAATTCACAATACCCACAAAAAGAGGAAATCAGATTGTTAGGATGACCATGGTGTAGAGAGGCAGCTGTCACAAGAATGTTCAAAATCCAGACAATCTTAAATTGGTAATACAACAGAACAAAAGTTTTCCCCTTTTTTTGTTGAGTTTGGATTATTAAGAAAAATTTTGTGCTCAAAAGTTGAGCGACATCGGTACCATAATTTCACAATATGTGAACAACAACTGTTGTTTAACATTAACAGTCTTCAAATTCCATTGTTTGGAGTTTATTACACTTTATTGTATCATGCAAAATTCAGTTTCAGACATTATTGATCAGAAATCATACTCTTCAGTTATTTTCTTTGCATATAGTTGGAAAACTGCCATTCGATTACATGTGACTGGTCAGTCAAAGGATGCTACCTTTGCTAATAACATAAAGGAATAGAATAATAATTTGGAAGTTGAACATTTCAGATATTTAGATAAATTTAATCTAAATTATCTGTATTTAACAGTATTATAAAATAAATGAAATACTGTCAACATTGAAATAACAAATAATATACCTTATATTTTATAACTGCAAAGACTGACAATATTTGCAAATATAACATATGTATATAAACAATTCTAATATTTTAAATTAATACTAAACAAAAAAAAGGAAAGTATCCCTATTTTGCTACTTCAAAAGTAAGTATTCAATATAAAATCTTTTAGTTAAATAGAATAATTTACATTATCACAGGAATTATATTTATAAAAAATTACTTCAAAACAGCCATCATAATTCATTCAAGCAAAATTAAAAATAATACTAAGATATTTTAAATTTTTATATCTATTTAAAACAATAAATGATGTTTCAAACACCTCAGCTCATTTTGTCAGGTACATTGGCACAAATATCATAATTAGCACAAAAATTGCTTTTAACAGCAAATTGATATTATTTTCCCTGACCTCAATAAGATAAAATAAATTTAATGACTTGTTATTTTATTCTTGTGAATATGTATACAGTCATATACACATACACAACTGATTACAAAACTCTTGGCATGAAAAACTGATGGGATATAATTTTAGTTAGGTACATACAGAGTTTAATACAATTTAGACAATGAACAATACATTTCTCCCACAAGAATCATGCACAGAGAGAGAATACTCACAATAAAAATTTTAAATTTTAAGGCCTAATAATAATCTATAGGATTTTTGTAATTTAAAAATTTATTTTAGGTAGAAATGTATCAGACATAAAACTGAATAAATGACGAGGATAATGTAATCTGCTGAGTAACAAACCAGTCAATTCCAACAAGGACACATAATAAGACTATGATCTCACTACTGACAATTCAATAACTTTCAAACATAAGGCACCAGGCAAAGATGTCAACTTGTATACGTAACATTTCCAAACAAAGGCACAAATACCACCTCTCATTAAGACTAGTGCTGTTTTCTTGTGGGGTTTTGTTAATTTTTTATTATCAAAGTAGTCTCAATTGCACATACTCAATTGAAATATACATATAAGTAAAAATAATAAATAAAAATCTTGCACGTTTTTTTTAAAATAATTTCTTTTATGGAAAAAATATAAATAACAAATAACATCTTGTAATATATGAAAAAACATGCATTACAAGATTGCATTATATATGTTTTGTTTTCTCATTTATAGTTTCCAACAGAACTCAACATTCTGCTTATTTTTACAGTACATAAATTACGTTCAATTTATGTGGCTAATCATATCAGGAAAGCTTTGATTCACTCATTTCAGACACGTACATCTCAGAGGAAATCAGCAAAGACACCAAACAAGATAAATTAAGAGGTAGTGCTTGACAGTAACAATAATGAGTTTTTAGTCTTTTGTAAATAAGTAACCAAACTTTTTAGTTTATAAAACCAATACAATTTAGCAATGTATAACATAGAATTGCTATCTTTTACATATAATAAATGAAAATATAAACATCTTTGATAATTAAATAGTTTATGCTATGGATGGAATTTGAAAGAACAAAATGCATACCCATTTCTCTGTAGAGAAGTGGCTATCTTGCCTCCTACCGAGATGACATACTTTGCCTCTACATTCACCATGGTTTTAAAAGTCCACATGGCAGCATGACAGCATCCTGATCCTTGTTTTTTTTATTGATGAGCAACATAAGCACCATTTGCATGCCCTGCAATATTTAAACTTATCCAGTCTTTTATAGAACCCCTGTAGATGTGGAATCATTTCAGATTTTAATTATTAACACACTTTAACATGTTTAATTTTTTAATCATGTCAAGATGTTCACGTAATTGAGTTCACTAGTTAAATGAGAAAAAGATATCGTACTTATGGTTTATCCCAACCACAATGATGGCACCATGAAACAATGACATGATTTAGTTCTGTACAATTTGCTGTAACTTGCTCCAACTGGAAATAGAAAAAAAGATTCTTCTTTGGCATCTTGTTAAATTGTTAAATCAATAACACAAATTTATACTCGCAAAGGCAAAAATTGGTTGTTCGTTTATTATGTTTTTTTCATAGGTAGAAGAAAATTCCCACGCAATCAGAAATGACGCCATTTGATGAACAAGAGCTCTCAAAAGAAATTTTTTCTATTTATGTGTAGAGATGGCTGATTTGAAGAACATTGAATAAAGTTTCAGAGGAAGTATTATAGTGAATAGTAAAATACAACATTTCAGGCACTCCTCCCAGTGGAAACAAGATGTTGCATTGAGAACACTGCAACATTTTTGTGCAGAGATTTCGTACAAAGAAACTGCCTTCTATCTCCTGCCAGATCCCTTTCCAGAAGGCATTCATCCAGCAAAAAGCTCAATGGGCACTGATTTGACTCTCTTCAAAAAATGATTCAATCAACCAAAACTTCCCATTGAAACTAAAGAGTTCCGTTGAATATCTGCTGGAAGGTTGACGAGGGAAGAAGGATGGAACAATTTATACCAACCAATCACAATATTGGAGAGGTCTAGATCATCAAGCATAATCTGAGCAACTCCCATAAACACTTTCTTTTCCATTCTACCATAATCACCCCAAACAGTTACCTGAAAAATTTTAAAATTATATCTAAAACAAATACAAAACAATGTCATCAATGCATAATATTTCAAAGATAACTTTTAATAAAGAAAATTTATTCCAGATTCAAGTGACCTCCAAAAAAGTGATTATAAAAACAAATGATAAATAATTTTCAAAACATGAATATAATAATGCATTCCTTATTTTATTGTAATCTCTAAAAGTAATAAAAGTTATTTATTAGAAGAAATAATTTTTAAGTAAATATTTCATATTCTTGAATGCCCAAATTTAGTTAAAATTTTAAAATATTTGTTTTGTTATCACAGGAAAACTTTCTGGAGATTAAAGTAATTCATATGAATTTCAAAGGTTTTTGAAAGGAAGTACAGTAAGACTTTGTTTAATGCTACCTTGATTCATGCTGATTTCATATAACACAATCTACTGAAAGTCTTAAAAAAAAAGCCCAAATTTATGTTGATCCAAATTAATGCAGCATTTCATTGATTTGTACATAATACAATTATTCCCAAACACAAACCAATCAGCAAAAGGTGGTAATTTGTCGCAGTACTGTATTTTCCCTTAAAATATAATATCACGGATGCCATAGGGAATATCAACATCACTTGGCAAGAATTAACTGACAAATGCATGAATGGAAAGTGGAAGAAGGTATGGCTGGAGAATTCTCAACAAGAAGAGCCTATCGTTGACCAAATTGTCAACCTAATTGATACAGCAGGTCAGATGTAGACAAGCAGGATATTGAGGAGTTAATGCAGGTTTCTGGTGAGAGCTTTACCAATGACAAACCTCCAAGAACTAGCAGAACAAGGAATTCAGTGATTCTGAAAACGAAGAATTCAAAGAATTTCTCTACAGATTTCCTTAGTAAAAGTTTAGTAATGATAACTACAATTGTTGATCAAATTGTAGCGATTGATTCAGATTTTGAAAGGAGTGCAAAAGCAAGACAAAGCATTTTGGATGCAATCTCCTGCTACCGACATTTGGTTAACGAAAGAAAAAAAGGAAAGGGATTGTCAGTGATTCTAACCCTCACATATGGTTATCATTCAATATCCTGCCTCCAGCATCCCCCTATGACCCACTTACTTCTTTTCACACCTCTAGATTTATTCACTGCCCACTTTGGGAACCACTGATGTAGTCACCAAGATCATCATTAAAAAGCAAAAAAATTGTTTGTATGCAGCAAACATTCATCTGCTATTGTGATTTTTCCCAAAACTAGCAAAAACAAATATATGCATACTTTGCTATTAGTTCTCTCCCATTTATTTTCTGGACATTCAATCCATACTTTAATTGATATTATTAGACACTTCTATTTGAATTTGTACCTTAAAAGATGATAACTTAAAACACAACTGGTAAAGTATCCATTTTAAATGCATATGATTGACTACGCAATGTTTCCAGTACTGTAACTAGGCAATATGTACACAGACACAGAGCCCACAATGTTAGGGGCTGTGAAGTGAACTGAAAAAAGTCAATTATTATTTTAAAATCTTAAATTTCACCACAGTGTTCTGCTCAGTGGATGCTAAGAAATCCTTTCTTGTCATATCCATCATAGGTTCAGCCAAGTCTACAATGGTGGTGAAAGATGTGGCCCAACATTTCTGGGACAAACTACCATGTAAATTTTCCACAGTTTTTATACTGCCTAAATTCAATACTGGGTGTCCTCAGAGCAATAAGCTGCTGCCTTAGCCAGATTGGCATCAAACAGTGTTCAAATGGGGAATAGGCCCAGGAACCAATTGCATTATTTAACAGTTTAGTCATTAATTATTGTGTTGCTTAGTCCCTAGATGGGTCTCCATACACTCACTCTCTTCACCAATATCTGATTGCTTAAGTCAATTCTATATTCAGTCAATGTCTCTTAATAACAATTTCTGGTGTTTGTCAAAGTATACTATCTTGGATAGTACATCTTGACAAACACCAGAAATTTCTATTGGATAGAATATATACATAATGACTGTCATCTGCTTGACAATGGTTTGTAAATATTGGGTTGTTCGGAAAGTAAGTTCGTTTTTTTCCATGAAAAAAACCACAATATTTTTATAATAAATAAATATTTTATTGAATTATATATCGACCATTTTGGTCAAATACCTGACAAACTTATGTGAAATTTGACATTATCGTGGTAAACACTACACCTGTTTTGCTGATCAATTCTGGCCTTTTCTGTTTGATGATATTACTCAATTTGTTTACTCAATGGCAGTACACTTTCAAATCAATTGTTAAATTGTCTGGTAAAAGCTCCAAAAACAAAATTTCCTTAAAATCCCACCAAAGAGAGCATCTCTCTAAGAACATGTGGAACCTATATATCGAGCTTTGAAACAAAACCAATTTGTTTCAAGTAATCATAAGCAGTTCAATTTGACAGATTTAATCTTAGTGATTTCACATGTTGTTATTCGGCAGTTTGCTTCAATCAGTATCTTTATTTTGTTTTCATTGGCTTCAACTGGCTGTCCAGAACGTGGTGCATCTTCAATATTGAAATTGCCAGAACGAAATTTTATAAACCAATTTTGGCACTGTCTTTCTCTTAACACATCATCTCCATACATGTACCACAATTTTTTTCTTGCTTGAACAGCATTTTGATTTTTTGGTGATAAAAAAGCAAAATATGCTGAAAATGATGCTTTCGATCTTCCATATTTGATAAGACACAAAAAATAAACAATTGCACAAAATCAAACAAAATTTTTTACAAAGCCTTAAAATGCTAGCTGTCAAAATATATAATGATAATACGGTTTAGAATAAAAATGGCAGGAAAAATACGACTAATCCGTCTAGTGGTAAAAAAAAACGAACTTACTTTTCGAACAACCTAATAGAATTTTAAAAAATTTCATATAAGGATCTCCAGAAAGTTTCCATCTATCTGTAATTGATGGCCAGATCTTTAAACTTTATAAATCTCCATCATTTATAGATGTTTCAATTGGGATCAGTTAGAGGTAGGATAATCTGAGTCTGGTCACAGGCACTATCTATGTCGTTTTCTGATAGTATGAACTTAGAGCCTATCTTCCATCACCTTTTCTGATAGCATAAATATGCTCATTGATTATTTTCTCCAAACATCTAGTAATTGCTCCAATAAAGCCAACAAATTCAAACCAACCATCAGGAGAAACTGCACTTTATTCAATCTTAACGTACTTCAAGGACCAGGAAAAGCAAATACTTACCAGGAATTTATTTCATCCTGCTTATAGATAGATATTTTAACAAATAGTAAATAAAGTGTGGTTTCTCCTGATGGCTGGTTTGAATTTGTTGGCTTTATTGGAGCAATTATTAGATCTTTGGAAAAAATAATCAATGAGCATATCTATGCTATCAGAAAAGGTGGTGAAGGATAGCGTATACGTTGGAAAATGATAGATATCACCTATCACCAAGTCCTGACCATTCCTGCTAACTGATTCCACTTGAAATATCTAAAAAGAATGAGATTTATAGTTTCCTTTAGGGCTACTGTCAGACAAGCACCATACCATTAGTAGTCATTTTTATTCTGGATGTGTAAATGTTGACACAGATCTCATAGATTGTGATGTGCTGTTTTCTATTACATACAGAAGAATTTAAAAACAAATGACAAGGACTTATTTATTCTGACATCATCACAATGCTGAGCTACAATTTTTAATCATATTTTTAATTTATTTAATTTAAAATAGATGTTCACATCAAATTAGTAGCCAATTACCATATTTTAACTGTGAGGCTTTGGCCCCTGTATATCATACTTTTCCTTTAACAATACAGTTGTGTAGGTCATCTATCTAACACCTTTCAGGAAAAATTTTTGAGTTGAAATAACATGACTTCCAGTTTGCATTGGAAGTTCTTATACAGTTAATCAGGGCCTCCTGCTGCTAAGATTTCTATATCTTGTCTTGTCAGTAACTTTCCAAAACTGGGATCATATAAACACAGACAACCAAACCAATACTAGCAACTATGTAATTAACAAAGAAAATATTTACTAATGTTTTTGTCTATTTTCATCTATTTAAAATACAGTAGAGCGTCGTTTGTCTGAAAGCCGATCAACTGAAATGTTGGTTAACCGAAAGCGTTCCAGTCAGACTGTGTCATGCTGAATCAAAAGTTTTTGATACTAGATTAACTTCCAAAATATAATTTTTTTGTTTTTATATTTTTCAATATATTTATTTTTGTACAAAATAAAGAAATAATTTTTAATGATACAATAGCCATGATTATTATTTTAAAAAATTTACGTTAGGCTTAACATCAACGAAAATTCAATGCGAAGCGACACACAATGGAGAAAAATTTCAACATGGGATAGGTTAATATATTTTTTCGTACATAATTGGTATCTGAAAAATAAGTTATCCAAATAACTCCAGTCCCCAATTGATTTGGATAAACAATGCTCTACTGTATATGAAAATGTTAGTAAATATTTTATTTATTAATTACATATACAACCAAATCAATACTAGCAACTATGTCTTGTCTTGTCTTTCAGCTAACTCTCCTTAATCTCAAGAACAAAGCCAAACAGATGACAGTGGGAATTTATAAGCCTACAGTTTTTTTTAAAAAAAACCAGAAAATATTGGGTATATCCTTTTGAGCATAACTGGCCTTCCTTTTTCTTATTTTTGTCTTTATACAGTTCAAATGAAGTTTCTCATAGTTCTGGCCCCTCACTAATTTGTATGATCATTTTACTTATATCAATGTGCATTTTTTAAAATACACAGATACACCCTTCAGCAGGAATGACACACCCGGTACTTCCTCAAAACAATGTTACCATGTCCATTGTTTTTTGCACTCTTCTGTTTACCATAGACTTGAGTGAATCTCCCAGCTATGTCATTTGATTATCGTGGATGATCTGGTGCCCTGTCTGCACAGTGCAGCATCATTCTGACTAATCCCGTGTCTTTTTGCAACCCTGTGACATCCGTCAAAAATGATGGATGTGAAATCATGCTTGTCTGACATTAGCCTAAAGATCTGGCCATCAATTATAGATAGGTGGATACTTTCTCTATTGACAGGAGATCCTTATATGAAAATCCTTTCTGATCTTATTTGCAAACCACTGCTGAACAGGATGCCAATCATCGTGTATATACTCTATCTTAAAGCCAAACAATTGCTGGATGATATTGGCAATCAGGTTATATATTCTAACTGTGAGGCTTTGGACAGTTCTAAACCCATCATTAATTAATTAAAATATTTTTGAAAGAAAAAAGAAAGGATTTGCAAAAAGTTGTATTTCTAGCTTTTGTGATATCATCTCCAGTTGGGATTGATTAAACATAGATCATGAGAGAGGTCAAAATCAAAGTTGATACCTTGTTGGTCACTCATTGCTAAGTGTAACCTCTTAAAAAAATGAGAATAAGAAAAAGCAACCAATCAGAATGGGCAATCAGAGACAGAAAATAATCCTGAATTTCAAATATGCCATTTTGTTTACCATATTTGTCAATTTTCACAAGTGTTTTAAAAATTATCATCATCATCAGTGTATCACAGAGAAACAAAGAGTTAAATATGCATATTTTGATTATATTATTTCACATCAGTTAGACTTGTTAGCCAAAAAAAATTTCCACATTTTTGTTTTATTTTCAACAAGCACTTGGCAGGTTTTGGCTGTTTTTGAAGCACTTTTGGCAACTGTTGATTGAAAGTATTTGGCAGCACTATATCCTTCAGATGTGTAGTCAGTTCATTACGATAGGTTTTTCATGTATTAGTCACCTTTGTGCTTAGGTCACAATGCAACAAATTTTATGAATACAATCTTATTTAGACTGCAGCAAATTTAGATATTGATAAACATTTAATAATAGAAATTTTTAAAAAAAATGTAAAATAAAAGGAATCAGGAATTTTTTAGTTTAAAATAATGAAAATATACCTGTAAAACACAACCCCTGTAATCTTCATGGAACACTAACTGCTGCTGATAAAGGGGATCTAGTGTTTTCCTGGCAATAGAAGTCTTAGTCTTAGCTATACACTTGCGACCATTAACAAGATATACCTTCACATATGGAGCTNTAGATGTTTTTACTTAATAATATTAAAATAATTTCTATTATTGAATTCAGATATCACAATTACAATTCAGATATCAGCTATATCATTAATTATGGTTAAATAATTTTTACTTGCTTTTATAAGAAGCAACTAAAAATTACTCAATTAAGTTAATATCAAATGTATAACATTACATTTACATTGTACTGTATATATGTAATAAAAAAAATTCTCTACTATTTATTATTTATTTCCATATCACTATACAGATTTGGAAATATTTCATCACTTGACTGGAATAAAAATTAATGATGTACTGTACATAATTTATTGAAAATTATGATGATTCTCTAAATTTTGTTAATCTTTGAATAGTGCATTTAATTACACTTCTTCTATAGAAGGACAGTTTTAAAATACCATTTTTATAAATTATCTAAATGTAAATTACAACAGGAAATACATAACAACACACACAGAATCAATAATTGGTGTAAAGAAAACAAAAATGTTTTCCAACTCCTGAGTTCTTTGGGCACTATAACAGTTAACGGATGGAATGTCATTCAGAACATAAAAGCTTTTTTTGAAAGAAATGTAAATTCAAACTATGAGTATAAAAATTTAAAGCTGCACATGTGTTGTCCTAACAATCCACAAAACCTTTTTATAACAGTGTTGTGTCCGTAACAATCTTCACTAACGTTTTCGACCTCCACTAAGGTCTTCTTCAGGTGCTGAATAAATGGTGTCTCCTCTTGACTGTTGGAACGATGATGCTTGAGATGTAAATAATGCGCATATCGTGTTTCACCCCTCCGCTTGTCCCAGTTCGAATTCTTCGAATAAGTATCTCCACGTCTGCGTGATCGTCTCTCTGTCTTTAAAGTTGATGCAGTGTCACCAATGTTGGCTTTATAAATCTTCCAGGCCTCCAGGTGATGGATGTGATCAATACGAAATGCCTGTCTGATTACTTTGGTGTTTTGGAAGTCCGCCCGAATTTCAGGGTCGGTAACACCACCACCTTGTCGGCCTACGTTACTGACCCTGAAATTCAGGCGGACTTCCAAAACACCAAAGTAATCAGACAGGCGTTTCGTATTGATCACATCCGTCACCTGGAGGCCTGGAAGATTTATAAAGCCAACATTGGTGGCACCTGCATCAACTTTAAAGACAGCGGGACGATCACGCAGACGTGGAGATACTTATTCGAAGAATTCGAACTGGGACAAGCGGAGGGGTAAAACACGATACGTGCATTATTTACATCTTGAGCATCATTGTTCCAACGGTCAAGAGAAGACACTGTTTAGTCAGCACCTGAAGAAGACCTCGGTGGAGGTCGAAAACGTCAGTGAAGATTGTTACGGACATAACACTGTTATAAAAAGGTTTTGTGGATTGTTATTACTCAACGCAGTGTTTAAGATTAGAAGTCGTTTTATGTGTTGTCAAGATTCAACCAATGACTATACTGTCATGTCAAGCAGAGCCTGCCAAGCCATTGACAACATTTCCTCCTTATACAAAATTATTAAAAGTTAGCTTTAAAGATTTCTATGGCCTCCAACCATCTGAGATGCTCCTCGTGGGGTGTAGTGAGAAGGAGTTTGGCCTGCGTGAAGTCTGCCAAAATTTCTGGATCCACTGTTTAGGTAGAGGGCTGTGGAAGTTCTAGCATGTTGCATGTTTGAAATGTTCTTGTATTCTGGTTCTCATAGAACATTTAGTGGACCCAATATACAGAAGGTCTCTATCAAATCTGATGTCCCTGATAGGTCATTGTATATGCCAGGAATCTGGTAGGGTTGGGAGGGTCCTTTCCATATGAAATATGTTGAAAATAGACAAGCACCTTCTGAAGGCTATATGAACAGCATGCTTCTTTGTATGCAAAAATCACTATGAACTTAGGTAGGGGTTAAAAGTAACAGATACTCGATTCCACTTCCCCAGTTTTGTCAGTTAGCAATGTGTTGACACACGGCATGGATTCCAGATGGGTCTGCTGGTATAAATCAATCAGCTGATGTACAACTTTAGAGTAACCATGGGCAATGGCTAACTCTTCTACTAGTGCTAATTTAGCATCAAGAGCTTAAGGGTAGAAGAGCAAGACAAACTTTTTAGACTTTAAATCTCTCTACCTCCATTGAACTTCCTCCATGTTTTTGTGTGCTCTGGAACATCTTGTTTCATATTGTTAGTGATGACACTCTCCATCAGCACATTCTAGAGATGGCCCATTTAATTTACTACAGTTTGGTCTTTCAATCTAATAGTATCAATTGGGGAAAGAGAGTCCTGATGGATAGCCCAATATCAGGAGACCTATGTAAGATAGTAATTTGACAATTAGAAAGCAAAGTCCTCCCCCAGATCCTCCATAACATTCTTTTTTACAGGAAGTATATTGATGACATTATTATTTTTTGGAAGACAGTTATGGATTTAACAGCCTTTGTCAATACCATCAATAACAATTCTTATAGGTTGATCCTGTAAGTGGAGCAATCTAGCCCCTCATAGGTGACTTCTTAGACATCAATATTATTTTTATTTGGTTGGATATCAGCACCTCAGTACTTCTCAAGCAGGATCAATGTCTTCTTACATCCTAGTTGGATCATGAAATCCTTATCATTATAAGATTGCAGCCTACAAAGTGTTATTTATGAGGACTTTTACCCACTCTTCTCTTTTACCCTCAAGCTCTTGATGCTGAATTAGCACTAATTTATATAGTTATGTTAAATAAATTGTCGAATCACCATTTTACATAGGTCTTATGATATTGGGCTATCCATTGGGACCCCCTTTCCCTGATTGATACTATTAGATTGAAAGACCGAACTGTAACAAATTAAATGGGCCATCTCTAGAATGTGCTTATGGAGAGTGTCATTACTAACAATATGAAACAAGATGTCCCAGAGCACACAAAAACATGGAGAAAGTTTAATGGAGAGTTAGAGGGATTTAAAGTAGTGTTGCAACGAATAGTATATTTGGCCTCAGGCCGAATACCGAATATTTGGCCAAGAGTGTGGCCAAATAGCCGAATATTCGGCCAAACTATTTGGCTTGATTAACGCACGTACGAAAATTGGCACGCAAACCACATTATGGCAAGGACCCTGCTCTCTATTGGCCCACTGTCACTATGCTTCTCCAATCGTGTTAATTCTTGACAGTTCAGACAAGAGCGTCATGGCATTGTGTGATAAATGATAAGTGATGATATCAAATGTGGATAACAATGAAATGACCTACACATGTAAATAACGGAAGAAGAATAGAGAAGAACCACAAAGTGAAAATGTGAAAATAAATATGAAATTGAGTTGATAACATAATCGAACAAGTCAAGGCAGCTTATTGGCGCGAAATTTGCGGCCGTCAATGCCAAACAATTGTTGTCATAGACTTCGGAAAGCTAAATGCTTGTAATGAAAGTCACTTAATGTGCATGGGTGAAAGCCTGGGACTGTTTGGGCTGTCAAGCTGTCTCGAATCTGTGAAATCATAACTGTGACATATACCAACGTCCTATCTGTCTCTTTTCTCCGTTATCACCAGACTATGAGTCAGGTAATTATAAAATGGAAAAACTACGATGGAAAAGTGATGAATCAAAAGTATTGTGAGCACATATTATGATGTATGCATAGGCATACGTGGACTAGAGCGATAGAGGAAAGAGAAAGGGAAGAGCAAAGAGGAGCGCTTAAAAAGAAGGATAGGCAGGATCAGACCCTCAGATGTGCGACGATTCTCAAACGAATAGATGTGTATGTGTGTTGATCTTTGTAATTATAAATTGTGAATACAAGTGACTAATATTATGTTCTTTTTTATTTTGTGTATGTTATAAGTTATAAATAAATATAAACAAACAACACTAACCCGATAACATTAAATCTAAATACCAAAATGATTAATTTACTGTGTTTTTGTTATTTCTTACTCCAATTTTTAGGTATTCGGTATTCGGCCGAATAGTGATTAAATATTTGGTATTCGGCCGAGTAGCGAAAAATAGACCGAATACCGAATAGTAACCGAATATTCGTTACATCACTAATTTAAAGTCTAAAATAGTTTGTCTTGAGATTGTTTTTTGTGTTCTTCCTACCAGTTATTGGTTCTGTGTGCATCATTATGATCTGAATGACTCCTGAAAATTCTGTCTTTATGTTTGGGTGTACTTCAAAAGGTATTGTTCATCATAAGTACTTGAACATTGGTCAAACCCTCATAGCAAATTTGTGCAGTGAGCAGCTACAATGAGTACATGACAAATTAAGGATAAAACAGCCATTTTTGGCATGTATTCATTAAGGTGTTTTTGTTTCTACATGATAACACTCATCATTGCTGAAATTACAAGAAACAAAATACAGTGTGTGATTGGTTAGTGAACAAATCTGACAAGTGCTTTTCTGAAATTTTATTTAAAGAAGAAACTAATAATATTATGGAGCCTAAAAAGAGTGGAGTGTCAAGAACTGTGCGTACTATAGAAACCAAGCAAGAGATAATAGCCAAGGTAGATAATGAGCAGAAGATGTCTGATGTTGCTAGGCAATATGACTTGAACAGGTCTACAGTAGGCACAATCTTAGCTAAGAAAGATATAATCAAGAAGACTCAAGCAGCTAAAGGAGTAACAAAAATCACATCTGAGAAACAAAGATGTGCCATCCATGAAAAAATGGAGAGATGCTTTTAATTTGGATAAAAGAAAGAGAAATGGAAAGAGATGTAACTAGTATGACTATCATTCAAGAGAAAACTAGAGAAATTTTTTAAGAACTAAAGAAACAAACTCCACATTTGTCATATGAGAAGATAGAATTCAAGGCTACCACTGGATGGTTTGCAAAGTTTAGGAAATCAGGCATTAAACATGTGGTAATCCATGGTGAGTTGACTAATTCAGATAAAGAAAAAAACAGAATTTCTGTCTCAAGTTTGAAGAATTCATTTTAAAAGAAGGATATTGTCTACAACAAATTTTCAATTGTGATTAAACTCATATATTTTGGAAGTGCATGCTGAACTGTATACCTACATCATGAAAGATGAGAAAAATATTCATGGGTTCATGAAAGACCAATTCATATTACTTTTAGGAGCTGATGCTAGTGGTGATATAAAGCATGTCCTGCTTCTTGTTTATCACTCTGAGAACCCTAGAGCATTAATAAATTCCATAATTAAAGAAAGACTGCCAGTGATGTGAAGATTGAATAAAAGGGCTTGGGTCACACAAGCTCTTTTCAAAGAATGGCTGTTTGAAGTTTGTACTCTAAGCATCAAGGGTTACCTTCAGACCAATGAATTGCCATTGAAAGCAATGTTGCTATTGGACAATGCACCAGGACACCAAAAAGACATTGAAGATAATTTGCTGGAAAACTTTCCTTGGCTGATAGTTTAGTTTTGTCTCCAAATACCACTTTGTTGATTCAGCCAATGAATCAGAAGGTTATTACAGGTTTCAAGAAATTGTACATTTACAAACTTTTTTGTTGGTGTTTTGAAATATGCCAGTTCTCCTCAACAATGACCTGGAAAACATGTTGAAAAGAAAAATTTGATATTCTTGAAGCTATCAGGCTCATTCAAAAGGTGGGGTCACTCAATAACAGTTAAATTCTACTTGGAAAAAGCTGTGTCCCACCAGCATTCAGGGAGATGGAAATAATGTCCCTGAAATTATGCATGAACTTGTGACAACTGCTAGAGATCTTGAATTGGAGGTGAATGAAGATGATTACATTGAGGAGCTCATAATGGAACATAAAACTGATCTGATGATAGAAGAATTCCAAGAACTCTTAAATGAAGAACACCGAGAAACTTTGTGAGATGTGTTTTCTTCTGAAAAATAGGAACATGAAAAAGGACCAATGCTGACATCTGCTATTAAAGATCTTTTGAAGAAGTGGGAGGATGTCAGAACAACAGTCTTAGAATGGGATCCAAAACAGGTCGAGGTTAATGGGCTTGAAGAGTTCTATAACAACAATGCTATTAATTACTTCTGAAAAATTCTGAAGAAGAGAAAAAAGCAATCGACATTAGACAGATTCTTTAATGCCCCACAAATGGAAAAAAAAACATGATTGATAAAAATGCAAGACTGTATATGTATGTATTATTACTATTCCATATAAATAAACATAGTAAGAAAATATATAATTTTTATATATTTTTGGGAGTCTCCAGAACAAATTAACCAAATTTCCATAAAAATCTATGGTAAATCGATAATCAGTTAAACAATTCAGGCAGCAAACATGGTCTTGGATTGGATAATGTTCATTAACCAATCACCCACTGTAATGCAATTGGGATGGGAACTTTTACCTCATCCTTCCTATTCTCATGACTTATGGTAATCTGACAGAGATAAGCCAGGAGAATAGAAAGAAATTACTTTATTTAAAAAATCAAAATTTAGATATAGAGAATCCTCACTTATAGAAAATATTTTGAAATATCAACAACATATATATGCATGCAAAGTTTTTGGATAAATTATTTTTTTCTGCTTAAAATTTTAAGATTTGTTACTTTCAATATAAAGATATATCTTACCAGGTGAGCCTTTTGCTCCTGCTTTTGGTTGTAAACCACGAGCTCGTATTACTTCAACCTCAAGATTTCCTTTACGGTCGCACATGCTTAGCTGAATATCTCCCAAACTGGGAGATGCTAAGACTTGTCTTCCAACTAATTGACCTGGTCCCAAACCTTCCACAAAATTAGAAAACTCTCCTTCTGATGCAAGTCTTAACGAAGGCAACCATCTATCATAGTTATATTGAAAGTCATATTTTATTACATTTTAAAAACAAATGATTATAATATAGTACATTCAAAGTATATTAAAAAGTTTTGATAGTTAACATTGAAATATCTCCAAATTTTAATTAGTTATTTTATATACAATCTCTCTACACACCGGTGTTTAAATAAAATAAAATACTCCTCAAACCTTTAACCAGAGTGCTTCTATTTTTAGAATTGCAAACGTTTTCGTCGCCCCTACTGGGCTCTTCTTCNAAATATTCGGTATTCGGCCAAATAGTGAAAAATAGGCCGAATACCGAATAGTAACCAAATATTTGTTACATCACTACTATATATATATATTTAAAAATATAATTACAACTAATTAAAAATTCAGCTGTAATAAATTTAATTATGGAAAATTTATCTTACTGTTGCATTTTCTTTTTATGTTCTGCTTCTCTTGATAATCTCTCTTGTCTAACCTTCTGACGCCGCAGTTCAACGTTTTCTGCAGCTTTTTGGGCTGCACGTCTATTTGCTGCTTCTTGAAATGCTGTAACTTGATTTTGCCACTTTTCTAATGCTTTATCTAAATCTTGCTGATTTAATCGAACTTGCTTAATTTTTTCATTTAATTCCTCTCTACAAAAAAGTAGAACAAACTATTAGCCATTTGTATTAACAATTACTTAAATATACATGTTGGCTCAAAAGTCAGTAAATCATTGTACAGTATAGATTAAATTGCTATATTATTCAAATACTTTATTACTTACAAACTTTACAAAAATTGTATAAAACGAGATTCTTCCTGTTTTAATACACAAATTACAATGCCTTGACACATTAGTGCTTTGCATAAATCTATCATAAATTCTTCAAAAACATGGTTAACTGACTTTTAGCTTACCTTGTGTATTTGTGTATTGATAATCATTGTTGAAATACCTCTACACAACACTGTCTAGAAATATTTAGCATCCAAATACAACCAAATCTGGTATGGTGACATTACAGTATAGGCAGAAAACATTCATAAAAAAATTACTAGCAAAACTCATTACTATGATACTTTTGGTGCTGCAAGCAACAAAAAAGCAGTTTCCTTTGTATAATAACATGTATTTTAATCAAGTTCTGGATATAAAAGTAGTCACAATTGTTGAATATCATTCTTATCAGCTACTATGGCATCACTTTGCAGGAATATGCATTTCTTGTGAAGCTGTTTTGTGAAAACAATGGCAATACTGCAGCTAAACTTTGGAAGTTTTGCCATCATAAGAATTTATTCTGAAGACCATTGACTCCATAAACTCTTAGAAGAATGATCACTCAGTTTCAGAAACTGGATGCCTGGGAATTCAACCTGGTTGAAGACAAACTTATCACTTCACAAGTCATTGGAGATCTTACCATAGTTGAATAATCAATTAGTAAAGTAGGCTCTGGTAGTGAATGACAATAAACTCTGAATTCTTCACATCTGTAATTTTAAAATATCATATTTTAAGAAGTAAAGTTTAATTCTCTGTGTATGACCATCAAGATCATCCCTCAGCTAAAACTTTTTACATCAAAGTCTGTAGTGGGCAGATCTGGCTGCACTGTAGAAGCCTTGGTGCTCAAACACAAAAAACTAAACTTTATGAAGTTTTCTTATTTCAAGATATTTTTTGTCTCATACTTTAAATGTGATAAACATTTTAACTGAATACAAAGAGATAGATTATATAAGTTCATGTATAAAAACCTGGTACACAAGTATTTATATTAATCAGATCTGGAATCAAAACACAAATGACCTGAAACCACTTTATTTTTGTAACTAAAAATGAAACTCATAGTCTAGAAGCTTAAAAACTAAATCAAAATAAAACTAATACTTTTGTTCAGATTCTTTTTGATATTTTCTTGTTTTCTGGAATATATTTTCTGCAAACATACCAATTCAATATTTCTTTTATTTCATATAACTTGTGAATCAATCTGGTATTAAAAGTGATTATATTCAAATTCAATTAATAATATTTAACTCAATAGTATAATGGAAACATATCTATCCCATCAAAAATAGTTTTTCTTAAGTTAGTCATTAATTTTTAATTAATATTTTAAATAAACTAAACTGGATTTATAATTATTGTGATAAATACTTTAAATAAAAAATTTTGAATTTATTTACTTATATAGAAAGCTATTTCATAAATAAATTACATCTTCAAAATTTTGCATTATTTTTTGTCACTACACTAATTTGTTTTTGTAATTTTTAGATCTTTCTTTTTGTATTTTATCTTTAATTAATAAAAATAAACAAGAAGTGAAAAATGAATGTCAGGAAATATAAGCCTCTAACAAATTACAAAATATGAAAAGCATAATGTGTAATTCTATTTATTAGCAATGGCTTAAATTTTAGTTAATATTTCCATTTCATACAATTAAGTCTCAAAATAAATTACAGAATGAATAATACTTGTACAACAAATCATTTCAATAAAATGTAAATGCTTTAATACTTGTATGTTGTTTTCTTCAATATTTATATAGATTTCCATTATTGTAAATCTCAACCAAAAAAGAAAAAAAAATGATAATATGATAATCAACACATTTAATTATAATAATGGATCATAAATTCACTATTGCCTAATTGTGAATTCAAAATATAGATATATCTGTGTAATATATAATATTCTTTTTACAAATTTATAGTGTAATATTTTCAAAAACTTATTACCTTGTTTGACAATGATTAAAACTTATCTGGAAAAAAATATTTGTTATAAATCATTTTCAAGCTGAAAAAAAAAATTGTATTCCAGTACAGTAATCTTTAATTAAAATGGCCAAAGTATTACAATTAAAGAAAAAAATCATTTGTGTTTAAATGTCTGAAAAATTTCTGCTATTTACAATTGATTCCAGGTCTTGATGTGAACAAAAACTTATTAAATAGTGAAATATATAACAATATGATTAATTCATATACAAATAAATATAAAACAGAATACAGATTCTTATAACAAACTTCATAATCGTTATATTTAATATTACCAATAAACAACTTAAAAAATTCAAATAAAATTAGCAATTATTATAATAAATAATATCAATTAGTAAACAATGATGATGAACATTAAAATATAAATTTGTATCTGCAAATACTTAATTAGATAAAAATAATTAAAGAAACTGTTTTTGTTTTAAAGTAAACAAAATGTTTCAATTAACTTAAATAATAAAACTTGTCTATAAAACAATAAAGTAAAAATAAATTATTAATGTGTTATCATATCTTCAAGTAGTATTTTTTTTTTGTTTATTGCAGCTTTGTTTATCTTTAATAATTGTCAGAAATGAAGACTCAACCTATCAAATAATGTTTGCCAAGTAATTCTAGAAAAACTAAAATTATGATTAATAGTGATAAAAACAAAAGTTTAAAATATTAAGTTTTATAATACTATAAATCTAGTTTAATTATGTATATATAATACTCTATTAAAGAATAATTATGCTTAAACACTAAGGCAAATTGTGCACTGTGGGAACTTATGCTTAAACACTAAGTTCCCAAAGTGTGCACCATGGCACTCTAGGGTGCCACAGCTTCCTCATAGGAAAGTGTCACAAAATGTTATAAAATTTTTATAATGTTAGAATTTAATGTACTTGTTAGAATTTGTATAATGTACATGTTAGAATTTGACATAGGGTGCCATGGGAAAATCTGCATTTAGCAAGGGTGCCTAGAATCAAAAAAGTTTGAGAAAACCATTGCACTAAGGTAATACTAATATGAATGGTTAGTTTATTTACAATTTACTTCAATGATATTATTATATGTATAGTTCCTGTTGAACAGTTAAGTTCAGATATACAGTGGTGCCATGTACGTCAAACTTAATTTGTTCCAGGAGGCCAATCAAACTCTGAATTATTTGAAGTCTGAATCAATTTTCCCCCATTCAAAATAAAGGAAAGTGAATTAATCCATTCCAAGATCCTAAACAATACCAATTTCGATAAACTTAAACAGCAAATACACACAATTTAAGGTAATAACAACACAAGTAATGTCCCAATTAATAAATTAAAACATGAAAACAATAAATAAATACATAAATACTGTATAATAAAATGAAAATTATATTTACTGTATCTTAGTGAGGAGTAGTGATGTCCTGTCTCTTAAGGTCACTATGCAGTTTCTCACAAGTAATCCTTACAGATATGATATCACCAGCCAATTATTTCTCATTTATTCATACTAGGAGGTGATTTTTCATCTCTCAATAGCATGTGATCATCTGGAGATCAATTTTATCACTATAGAATGGATTTTAAGGTGCAAAATTATGGTTGGAAAAGGGAGAAAAGTTCTGAAAATGTATACAAAAAGATGAAAAAAGGTGTTGATGAAATGCATTTATTCAGATCTAAATTAGTTACATGAACATTCTTTGTCCAACGCTATAACAAATATCATAAATTAAACATATTTAGGAAGTAAACATGACATTTACTGGTTTTAACCAACTTGTTATATTGGATTACACACACCATTTCTATGTTTTCAAAAGTAAGTTGCTGCCACTTTGAGCTCAGGAGATTCTTGTATATGCAGAAACTCCACTCATCAACTGAAACCAATGGAGCATATCTTGTATGCAGTCAGAAAGGGAATTTAGTTGAAGTTGCAAAGGTTTCCACATCCGAATTGTTATCACTAATTGTTGCAAATCCATCAAGGTTGCACCTCACAGTCATCAACTTCTTCCATGTTCCTCTCTTCCATACCTTCTTCTTCCAAATTCTGAAACACATCAGGCAAATACTTGTAGCCATGTATTATGAAAAATTCCAACTCTATGTCTTTGTCATTGAACAATTGTTGAGCCTGCTTGATGGCTACTGCATCCTTTGAATCTAGGCCACATATGAAATATTTTGATTTTGTCAAAGTTTTTGCACAAGAAAACTGAGCATCTTATCCAAGTACCCCATCTGCTCATGACAGGGAATTGCGGAAGGTGGAGCTCAGTGACTTCTTGGTACAAAACTTGATGACTGTGGGCTTTTACAAGAATCTCTTTCAGAGTAGCAATGACATCATTTACCCTACTGTATTCCTCCCTGATATCTTCACAAACACAGTGTAGTCTGTGTGCAATATGTGTCACATGGTTAAGGTTCAGGTACTATACATGGCCTTCAGTTGTTGGAAAGCCAAAAGCATATAGCTTGCTTGATCACTCACCATAAGCCTGACTTTTTCATATTGCATGTTCCCTGGTCACAGCTTCATGCATGAATCATTGAATGAGTGCACTACTATGCATGCATTTGTCCTTTTGAAGCATAGGCTTCAGAAGACAAATGCACGCATAGTAATGCACCCATAGGCTTCACCCATTCACCAGATAATGGAAACACCAGCATATTCAATATATATCTTTGCAGCTCATCAGTAATTTCATCTAACATGAATTCCACTTCATGCTTGCCTACAACCTCTTTTATTTTCACAAAAAAATTCTCATAAATTGGCTTTATGTAATTTTCTCTAAGAGTGCTCTCCATCCATGTACTTCTTGAGGAATGGCTTGAATGCAGGATTGTTTACCTTGTGGACT